CCTGGTGGTGGCATCCTGGAGCCCATCTTCAGCATCCCTGGTGGGGTCCAGCCAGGCAGACAGGGTCAAGGCAGCAGGTGCACTGCAGTGGCCCTGGATGATGCATGGTGGGCGGGCAGGTGGTTGCTGTGTGAGGGGGAGCCAGGAGGGGTGAAGCAGCCATGTGCCAGCTGTCATCACAGAGGCTAGCAGTAGTGCAGGATTCTGGTTGTTGTTGCCAGGGTAGGGGCAGCCACAGCCATGGTTCAGGGAGGCAGAGGCATTGAGGAGAGCACTTCTGCATGCTGTCCCTGCACTGTGCACACTGCTCCTGGCAAGGGAAGTGGCTGGTCAGAGAGCAGCTGATGGGGCTGCTGGCTGCTGACAATTGTGGCCACAGCCTGGAGCTCCCCCAGTGGTGGCCGGGCCCAGGATGCAGAAGCAGATTTGATGCTATTGCCAGCAAATCTGCTCCCACTTCCCTGCACATGTTTAGCAGTGTTTACCCATAAGTAATGTATATGTAAGTAAACCGGTGCAACAGCAAATGCACTTGTAGGTGCACCCACAGAATCATAGAAAATAGGAAGGGAGCAAGAGGTCATTTAGCCCAACCCCCTGGTCAAGACAGAATCATCCCTCCCTAAACCATCTCAAGTTGTCTAACCTGCTCTTAAAAACTTGCAGCGATGGAGTTTCCATAGCCTCTCTGGGTAGCATGTTCTAGCTCTTGACAACCCTCATAGTGAGAATGTTCTTCCCAATCTCAAACCTATGTTTCTCCTGCTGCAATTTAGGTCCACTTGTTCTGCCCTGTGGCTACAAAAATTGTCTCTTCTCCATCCTCCATATAACCACCATTTGGGTGTTTGAAACTATGTCAACTGAACCTTTCACTGGGCATTATTGATGCAACTCCAATATATTGAAATCAGATATTTCTGAAAATAGTAGTGGAACAGGTTCCCCAAAACACTTACCAGAGTCCCAATTAAATGGGCCAGACAAGAATCTGATGTCAGCTTTTGCAGCTAAAATTTAAAACATCAGTGGCTTCCTAAAATGTGCCCCCCACTTGGCTCTACAGCTTGTTATTTATATTCATTCAGTCAGAGACTAGAATAATACTGCATGACTTATGTCACTGGTGAACCAATTTTAAATGCTGACTAGCAATATACAATATTACCAACAAGGTATTCATAATCAAAGTAAAGCCAAAAAACTCAATAAAAATGTTTTTTAATCAAGTGGAAATTTAAAAAACCCCACAATATTCTTGCACATACTCTGAGCTGAGAAGAAAGAAAAATCCTAAATTATTCACATAAGCTGTTCATAAAGAATAATTTATTACAGTTATTGGGAAAAAAATATTTCTAAACACCCAAGAACTGCTATGAGTTAAAACTATGCAAGTTATCATTAACAGGATATCCTCAGTTACAAGTTGTCCTCCAGTGAACCTCTATCAAAAGAGAACATCTAAACCAGGGGCGGGCAATTATTTTGTCTGGAGGGCCATTTAATGAGCTTTGGTTAGCCATCAAGAGCTACAAGGGTAGCCCCACCCCTTGGTCACCATCTTGGGACTACAGGTTCCACCCCTAACCCCTGACCTTTGCCACCAGAATCCCGCCCCCGCCTTGCCCCTGGTGGTACTCCTTTCGGGAGGGGAGGTTGCCATTTGAAACAGAAAAAAACAAATCATACACTAAAGGTCAAACACTTACTATAACTTAATTTAATTTTTATTACAAAAAATATTGTTGTCATGATTTGTGTTTGTGTAGTGTATACAGAGGTGATTGCATAATAGGTCAAAATAAAGCCTTACTTTTGTATATTGTGTGTGGGGGAGTGTGTGTTGTGTGGTTGGGGGTGGAGGTGTGTGGGGTGTGGGGTTTGTGAGGGGGTGTGGCTGTGTGTGGGGGGGATGTAGGGTATGTTGTGAGGTGTTTGTATATGTAGGGGGATTGTGGGGACAGTGTGTGGATGTGTAGGGTTTACGGGGTGTGAAGGAGGGTTGGATGGTGTGGGGACCCCCCACCCACTTCCCCCCGTGGTGCACAGCCTCTGCTGCTGACAGCAGCAGCAAAAGTACACAACTCTGACCAGAGCTGCACTTGGCAGCAAGGAGCACAGCCAAGCTGGCCTGTCTCTATTGCATGGTGCTTCCTGCAGCACATGTGCAGCTTCCAGTACTCACATGCCACCAGGAGGAAGCCCTGTGTGATGCAGCTGGCTCCCTTCCATGCTCCCTGCCACTTCCAGAAGAGCCCTGGCAGCTGCATGTGGTGGAGCAGGCAGCTGACTCCATCATGTGGGGCTTCCTGCCCCAGTGGGGCAAGTGCTGGGAAGCTGCACATGTGCTGCAGGGAGCCCCATGCAATAGAGGCAGGCTGTCCTGGCTGCACTCCTTGCTGCCATGTGCAGCTTTGGATGGAGCCGTGCACCACTAGGTGGCAGAGCCTGTGCAGGCCATGAGCACCCCAAGAGTCCCCACCTGCTGCTGATACTGCTGCTGGCAGCAGGGGCTGTGCACCATGGGGAGAGTATGTGAGGGGTCCCCATACTCCCCACCTTTCCTCACACCCACACCCTGCCCACCTGAGCTCGACACTCCTTCTGCTCCACTAGGCACAGGCTCTGTGCTCCGGCCGGCACCAGTCCCATGCTCTCTTCCCCCACCCAGCTCCAGCTCCCACCTCCACCCTGCCATTTCCCTACCTGCTGCCCTGAGCAAGCACTGAAGCAGGGAGATGAGGAGGAGCCACTGGAGCCCAGGGAAGAAGAGCAGGTCCCCCAGTGGCTGCAGCAGTGGCAGCAGCAGCTATGCCCAGAAGCTGTGCACTAGCTGAACCGGGCCCTTCTGCGCATGAGGGTGGGAGTGAGAAGCATGGGCTGAGCGGGGTGCAATTAGTTGGTGGGTACCTGTGGGCTGGACAAAATTGTCTGGTGGGCCAGATGTGGCCCGTGGGCCCTATTTTTGCCCCCCCCGA